TTTTGTGAAGAGATGGAAACTTGCGTAGAGGAATATAGTTGAGCAAGGGCGTTTTGAAAAGGCTAGAGCTGAACATTTGAAGGAGGCCGAGGAATTGGCCAAGCAGCACACCGCCGAGCCGTATGGACCCCGCCGCCATATCTTTAGTGTACGGGACAAGGGTGGCACAAGCTTGGGCGGCGAACGTTATGGTGGACGAAACTACCGAGTTGATCTTGAAAAGGTAGAGTGCAGTTGCAACGTCCCTCAGATCATGCATGCCCCTTGCTCTCATATGATCACGGCCTGGAGGGTTCGCGTGTACAAACTATGAGAATCTACCATATATGTCACCCTTGTATCTCCGTTCGAACACCGTTAGTATTTGGGAGATGAGCTTCGAGCCATACCTTGACCCGACACAGTGACCACCTTATAATGGTTATGACTACGTGCCGCATCCGGATCTAATGAAGGTAGGGAAGGGTAGGAGGAAGAAGAAACGACTCAAGGGGGACATGGACGCTATGAGAGGGTACGACGAAGACATGTACGGTGGGGGAGACTTCAACAAGACCCGTAGCAGGAATCTTTGCTCCATTTGCAAAGAATCTGGTCACAAGGCTAGCAGACATAGAAGACGAGGGCAGCATGTGCTTTCATATTGTGTTCGTATTGCATAACGAGTAGTTTAAATTTTGCAATGCTACATAATGTTAATTTGAATATTGTTAATTTGAATACTCAAACCCTTTGTTTATCAATTTATAATAGAATAGCCCCTCCCACGCCACACCAGATGTACCCCCTTCTTAAGGTGGAGTACGACGATCCCCTTCTTACACCGGACGATGAGATTTCCAAGAGGCGTTCGAGCGACCCTTACATTCCTGGGACTTAGTTCGTTACGTCGAACTTATGTCGAACGAATATTGTCGTTCGAAACTTGCAAACTCATGAACCAATAAAAATATTATGTGGCAACTTATCATCTATTTATTTGCTTCATATTCGTTTCAACTTGTGCATGGTCGCGGCAGCACTTGTAGTTGTTTACAGCACCGACAGCAGCTCAATTGAGGCTGGTCGGTTTCTGTCCGCGTCACTGCCGCACCATGGGATATGGCGCGTCACTGCCGCGCCATGGACTATGGCGAGGCAGAACCTGTGCTATGGCGCGGTAGAACCAGTGGGTTATGGCGCTGTATTCGAGATAATTTCACTCGATTATGTCCGTTTTAGAAATTCTCAACGCATGATACAAACAGATGGGTATAATACATCAATAGTTTAAATGGAATATAAGACAACATAATGAAATTTCTAGTATATAGCTACATTGATCATTAATAAAGCATGGAACTAACGGACAACGCAATCAAAAACCCTCAGTCAGAAACATACTGAGTAAGCAACTCATCGTCCGAGTACCAATCCTCAACCACAACCCTGTTGCCATGGCTAGGCTGACCTGCATTGCCCTGATCTGTCTTTTGCCTGTAGTAAGCTGCCTCCGCTTCATCTATAACCTGAGATAAGAACGCATTCTCTTCCTCCTCGTTCATGTGGCTAGGCTCACCTGCATTAATCTAACCTCCATGTCGCATGTCGTAAGCGGCCTCCACTTCATCTGCAGACTCTACAACCGAGTGAAGAACGCACCGTCATCCTTCTCCGCCTGCAAGCCCACCTCTACTAGAGCGATGAGCTCGCTCTGTCTGCCAGTGTCGTCCTTAGCCTCCTCCACCTGCAAGCCCGCCTCTGCTAGAGCGATGAGCTCGCTGAGTCTGGTAGTGTCGTCCTCATCCTCGTCCCCCTCATCAGACAACACAATCGGTGATTCAACGGTGCGACCAGCTCACTTTCTGTGCTCATCTAACTTCTTTTTCTTGTACCTTGCACGAGCCACCTCTGCAGCATGTTCATCGCTGCATCCAATCCCTTCATGTATAAAATGCAATCAGTTAGCAACACGATTATATTACATTTAAAATCAGGCAACGAAAAAGGCTTTCAAGCACTCACTAGCACATAATACAACAACATGCTCGTTCAAGACCTGCATCTGTACTCTTGTCTCCTCCCTTGCCTCTTTCCTTGCCCTCTCCTTCTCTAACGTCATATGTCTCTCCAATCCCCATTTGTCAAGCCCAATATCGATCGGGTTATAAATACCGCGCTGTCTAGCAAACTCACGCATCTTGTCTTTGTGATGTTTAATGAAAAGGTTGACGTAGTCAGGTCCATATCTCCTCTTCCGTGCAATTACTTGCTTCACCTTCATCCAAGAACTTAGCTTGACCATCATAACATTCCCACCTGTATTTTCTAGTGCTCTGCTTAAACGAAAAATTATATCATATATGTCTTAGCAAAAGAAATAAAATACGATTTTATGGTTACCACAAAAATAACCAACCTCATCATAGTTAACCATATGACCGCAATAATGGCCTATTCCAAGCTCTGAAGGGACTAGACCGTAGTTGGATTTAACACCACATTCGTAGTTGACTGAAGGTGCTTTGTAAATTAACCTTTCTTTCTTCTTTTGCTTTGCCTTTGGAGGTTCTTCTGGCCATTGGTTCTTAGGACCATACAACCACTACTTGAAACGACACTTCGCCATTGAATATACCTAAATAAGGTGATATTAGTATATGAACACATATAGCTCAACATTTCAACACATATACTTTGCATTTACTTCATGCTTGTTTGGACACACAAACTCCAACATATTCTCAGGGTTTATCACAGCTCGATCTCTGCAATCGCACAGAGGAGATTCCTCGAGTCGTCTAACTGCGGCTAAGTGCTTCTCCTTAGCCGTCAATGGAGGGGGATTAGGGGGATGGAACCCACCGCTCGAAGTGCTTGCGTGGATGTCACCCTCTCCATCAATCGTCGAAAAGAAGGTACCTGGGGTTAAACTTGTCTACACCATCGATCCGCTGAAAGAAAAAACACCTCTCATGGGCCTACACAATAAAATTTCAACAAAACATTAGTAACCTAGTAATACAAATGAAGAAAAAAAAACATACAAAAATAATTACTTACATTAAAACGACTGCATGTGTAGAAGCAACAAGCCGCTGTGTCCGGATGTCTCGATTGAAATACATCGGCCGTACGACCATAATCACAGTTAGGGACAGGGAGTTCAGGAGGGACGCTGGCATCTTTGCTAGACTCGTCGGGGTACAATTCTATAGGACGACCCCGTTTTCGCCACAACTGCTCATGAAACATGTCTTCTATCTATTAAAACGGTTCAAATTAAACATCAATCAAAACAACGCAAATTAATATAAAATTTAATCATTTGAATTGCAATTGAAATAATATAACCAACACTTATAGCAACAAAAATATACATGGTAAACATACTTCTAACTAAATAATTAACATTAACATTGACAAAATCAAACTAATATCTTCCTTCAAACCATAACCCATAGTTCCCAAACATAATTTTCTTCTAACCTTAACTCTATTCATAATATTCCTATCCACCGTTCAAACAAAAATAAAAAGTGCGTAATTACCTTGAACGAGGACGAGGGAGGCGGCCAGGGAATGGAAGGGGAGGGAGGGAGGCGGCAACGGAGGGTCGGGCGGGGCGCGGCGCGGGCAGGTGGACTTGTTGCTCGAGCAAGCGAGACTAGCCGCGGGGCTTTTATTCGGCTCTGCCGCGCCAAGATCGGTGGCGTGGCAGGCCCTGCCACATCACCGGTCAGCCTTTCCGGTCATCGCCACGTCAGCCACCCGCCACGCCACCATGTATGGTGCGGCATGACAATAGGCGCAGCCAAAAGTGTTAGTTTTGAAGAAGAAAAAAAAACGTTAGATTTAAAATTAGTTAACAAAAAAAATGTTAAAATTTTAAAAAAAATCACCTGCATCGCATTCGCTTCCGTGACGCCGGAGCCGTGGCGCCGCACCACCTCACCTCACCTCACCGGCCCCCCGATTCCCTTCACAAAAGTTACAAAACCATGGCCATGTTTAGTTCCACCAAATTTCAAACTTTGACACTATAAAAAAAAGATTCTCCGTCACATCAAACTTATGCGGTACATGTATGGAGTACTAGATGTTGACGAAATAAAAAACTAATTATACAGTTTGATTGTACTTTACGAGACAAACGTTTTGAACCTAATTAGTTAATGTTTGAACAATTATTATCTAAATATAAACGAAATACTACAATGCGCTACAGTGTCTACGGATTTCCAGCGGCGCCGATTCTGGCATGAACTAAACACGGCCCATAGCTCTCCAACTATCACAGATTATAGACCGAGCAGATCGCACATCCCTAGTCTTGTCAGATCCCTCCATCATTGCAGACCTGAACGCATCGTCACCTGGAAATGCTAGCATTTTTTTTTTGGGTGCAGAACTACAGACGCCCGGCACAAACCATCATTATGCCCAGGGCATGCAACGGCGCATGCATTGAGAGCAACGCAGCAGCGCCCCCCGGCGTTGCACTGTTTCAGAGTCGAAGCAACACTAGCAGCAACAATGCTGATGCAACAACATCAAAGACCAATTAGCCAGGCAAAACTAGGGAAATTAATGTTGGAAAGATGCAACTCATTAACTGGAACCGGACCAAACAAACAAGAGTATTTCACTAAACAGTAAAGAAATTCAGCGAGAAACAACACTCCACGGATTGGCTATTGCATGAGCCCCGCTTGGCAAGCAACAAGTTCTGGAGGCCCAGAGGACAGCTCAACGAAAGGATAACCGTATTTTCACCAACTCAGTCAAGCTTAGAGGTATGCTTCATTAACCAAACAACTCTGGGTATTACCACGAATATCCTACTGAACTAGTGAACAACCAATAGCACATCAGCTTCTTCTGAACAAGACAAACAAATCATGCCAGTTCCTTGGATGAGCCATTTTCTACATGCTTCGTATCTCATATGATGGAGAAAAACAAAAACACTTCAGCAGAGAAAGCGGGTCCTGTCTCATTCAAGTGAACCAATCTTGCACTCAGCAATACATAGAAGATGCCACCTCATCTAATACTGCCGCACCGAACCTGCACAAGGAAAACAATTTGTGAAATTACATCAAAGCAGACATAAAGCAGGTCAAACAAAATATACAGAAACCGTAGCATTTATGTAGACCAATAATCTTCTACCACAAACTCTTAGAAAGGCCTTGTCAAGAAGAAACTCTTAAAAGGTTCCATAAAAAGAAACACTTCAAAGGTTTGTGGAAACATATGCATAGTGCTGACTAGGCAAAAGTCAGACTGCCATTGGGTTCCTTCATTGAAATGTTTTAGCTACTAAACTGGAAGCAACACTATAATGAGTACACAAAAAGCTCTGTTGTCTTCCCATCCTTTTCATGCTTTCATATTTGTTCCCTGTTCCTGCCATTATTCTTCAAATCCTCTAAGATCCCCAAAAAAACTTTAATATGAAAACTCAATAACATATCCCAATATGAAACAGAGAAAGCGGTGAACATTAATGGAACAGGCTTTCAAACAGAGAAACCCATAATCAAATTTTTTTTACAGGACACGAGCTTGAGGTGAAGCTCTTTTGTAGTTTAGCAAGTCAATTATTGGATCATCAAAATCATCTGGGTGACTATCAACAGACAATGTGCGAAGACGCCTTGCTTTAGAGAGCACAAGCTTCATAAATGAAATTTCATTTGGAAGCCAAATGATACTACTCATCTCCACAGTTTGAAGATTGGCACACATGCCATCAGTCCACAGAGCATTTCAGAACCTCCGATCTGCCTCGAAACTCTGACCATCACCATCCCGCGACTTCACCAATAAAAGGAAATCAGTTGTAAACAACAAGATGACCTTCGAACAATGTAAATGGAAATATACTAAAGGCAGCATCCAGCATTACCTCTATTTCTAGGTTTTGAAGGTTGTGACAACTCCTTAGCAAGGTAAACATGAACAAAATGGGGCGCGTTTCAGTGAAGTCCATATATAACCTCAATAGGTTCAAGTTATAAAAGGTGAATGGAAGTGTATACGGCATCTTAACATCATCAGCCTGTGACAAAAAAATATATATATATATAAGAACATTGAAACTGGATAAAAGTCATACAGGGTCTAGGAATACAGATGAGATTTCTGCATTATTTTGAAACAAGGGACCACAGGCACATGGAAGCAGGGCAGGAATGAAACGATTGTTTCCTTTATTATTAATTATAAGTGTAGCTTTTCACACTATTTCATTAGTATATGAGACTATGTTTACATTCCTGATCTATGTAATGAGCTTGCGCCAAGCACTAGCGTTTCAGTGTCGATTTATAACAAAGCACATAGTAAGGAGAACAAAGTGAAAATAATGTATCGGCAAGAAGAGAGCGAGCCTTTGAACGCGAGCAAACCGAGCAAGGAGATCTCCAAAACCATGTTCATGCCGTGGACAGAATAACACATCAATGTGGGCATATTTGATGCACGGCAGCTCTCCAAATCGCCAGCCATAGTCATAATCTGAACAGATTGATAGGAGACGGAGATTGGGCGCCTCAATCAATGAGTCTGGGTAGTCATCAGGGATGAACACATCAAACATATCCAGGGTATGAAGCAAGGGTGACCGACGAATGATAGCCTCCAATTGCCCACTGGCTGGAAAGTTAATAATGAAGAGGTCTAGCTCCTGGAGCGCTGGGAAGCCGGCGAATCCTACGGGGAGGGGTGGGATGTTGCAGCGTTGCAGCTGCAGGGACACGAGATCCCCGAAGGAGAAGATGGAGGAGTGGAGGTTGAAGCATGATGTGAGTCTGCCACGTATGTGAATGGACTCGACGCGGCAACGGGAGAGCGCGACGAGCCAGTCGTCGATGCGACCGGCAGACGCGTCGTGGACGAAGATGTCGAAGAGGGAGACGCGGGGGCCGATGTAGGGGAGGAGGACGCTGTCAATGACCGAGGGCTGCGTGTTGAAGGGGAAGGAGAGGGAGATCACCGAGAGTGACTTCCAGAGGTCCCGCCAGGCGCGGGAGAGCGCGGAGGTGCGCACGGTGTCCCGGAGGTCGAGGCGGACGAGGATCTCGTCCTGCAGCTGCGCCGGGAGGGAGGAGAGCCGGTCGGCCCCTGCCACCGCCGGCTTCAGCTCCATCACGCCTCCAGCCCCAGACTCTCCACCTCTCCGTGAGGCGGCGACTCCGCCACCCTCTCTTCGTACTAGGCAGAGGCCGCCGCCGCCGAGGTCTCCACTTTTCCGCTCCGTCATCCTCTCCATGCGTTGGCAGCTGCTTGCTGGGGAATCAGAACTCTTGTGTTCAACATGAACCTCACTGTAATGATAATGAAACTTGTAAGTTGAGCAGGTGAGAAACGAAAGGACATTAAGTGAGAGGTGATTATTTGGATACCCAAAAGTCTAGATGAATTTTGAAAAGTGAAACCAGTGTCAGGATTATGGTTAATGGCTGGGTATTGTGATGAAATAATAGCCTCCTTGTGTTTACTCCAATATTAGGAATAGGCACCACTGGACAATATGCTTTATTAGACACCCCATTTCTATACTAGAAACCTATAAATAATTTCATGCTGGTAATTCCATTCGAGTGTATAATTGCAAATGATAAGATATAAAAAATTGAGCCAGTTTGCAACAATTGATAATAACGAATAGTTTATTACATCAAGTGTTAAGTCAGGATCAATATGACAATTTGCTGGCAATGACACAAGTTCCATAAAATAAAAGATAAAAACACATTGTTGAACTGACATTTTACAACATTAATCAAACTAAGATGCAGGACATCAAGTAACTAACTAAGAAAAAAGGTATAAAGCAGGAAACAACAAACCAGAGTATCATTACCTTTCCAATTTTGCAGCAAGGTCAGTCGCACTTTCTACCACACTGATTGCCGGATCTGGCGATTCTGTATTCTTTCTTGGGTTCTCAGAACTCTCCCCTTCGTCGTGAACATTACTGCAACCGTAATGAAACTTGTGAGCTGAGCAGGTGAGAAAAGAAAAGAACATTAAGTGGAAGTGGATTATTTGTATACAAACAAGTCTTGAGAAATTTCTAAAAAGGAAACCAGTGGCAACTCTAAAAGGAAACCAGTGAGAAATTTCTAAAAAGAAAACCAGTGGATTATTTTTTTGTGTGTGATTAACCAGTGGATTATTTGGATACCCCTCCTTGCATGCAGATGGTGAACTGTACTACCCGCTTGGGAAAAAAAATGATCTAAGCACAAATACAATCATAGAAATATAAGTAAATAATTCTCTTGGTTTCTGTGTTTAGAAGTGTTGAAGAAACTTCTGTGTGACTGTGACAATATGCTTAATTGGACATTAGATGTGTTTGAAACAACCCAGTTCTACTCTAGACAACCCTAAACAATGTCATGTTGCTCATCCCATTGAATCAGTTCATCAAACTAATACACAATTGACAATATCAAAGCTATAAACAGGACTGTTATATAGACATTACCTTTCTTGACGATTTCCACTGACCATTAGAACACCCTCTGTTTGGCAAGACTGAAAGGAATTCCTTTTGTTAGTACTTGTATTTTTCCCGAATCATCTGATGAAACGATAACAGTACTGAAAGAAACGCCATGTGTAGTAATTTACTTCTATCTTTTATTTGCATCAACTAATGAAGCAATAAAACAATATAAAAGTGGTCCACGGATCGATAGCCCTAGTATTATTATTTGGGAAAAATGTGAAAATAGCAGAAACAACCTTCATCTAGATCTTTACCTCAACAACATTGCTGGCAGGATTAACAACTTCTTTGGTGAATATAGCATCAATATCAGCAGCACTGATCGACTTAGAAGCAAGTTCTGGATCTTCAGTCATGCATTTCTTTAATTCTCTCTGCAAACATGGTTGCCATATACAATATGAGCAAACAACTGTATAACTTGACCTAAGCAAGAAAATTCAGAGATAACAAACACATAGGAATGATCTTGCAAGTTCGAGAATGGCTTCTCGATAATCCAGTGCAGAAGATTTGAGAAACTTATGCCACCCCTCCTGGATTTCAGGAATAGCCTTGGCGAACTGCGATGCAAAGATATAGTGAAACATTAGACTCTCACTAATATATAAAGTACAAGTGCAAGAATTCATCTGAGAAAGAAATGACAAATCGAAGTCATGCGGTGTCACTTAAAATTGACAAACCTCAGTAGTAGATCTATCTGTAGGTAGAGTCTTCATTTTGTCCTTTATGCTTTCAAGCAGCATACGTCCTTTCTCACACTTCTTTTCTCGTATTTCAGGAAATGGCTTTGGCCGTACTCCACTTGAAGGTGCAGAGAACAACCATTTGAATACCTCACTGCTCTTGTTGAAGCATATCATCATGTCTTGCTGTTCTGAATTTTCACAAAATGTCACCCCATCCAGAGAATCATCACTCTCCAATGCTTCATCACTCAATTTCTGATCCAATACTGACTGAAGCCGCAGCAAGACTGCCCTTGGGTGCCTGCTGCACATGTGTGACAATAGCAAACCAGTGTCCATGAACTTCTTGCGATCACAAAGGGGGCAAACCCAGAACCTCCAAGACTTGTGCTCCTTAACAAAGCTCCGCACATCAGACATGGTGAACGCATACGACCGATCAATCTTGAGGTACTCATCCTGCAACACTTCGAGCCTGACCTGAAGGAAGCTGTTACGCTGCCTCTCACTGCTCATGGAGTCCCAGTAATCGTTGGCCAGCATCAGGATCTTGTTGATCAGCTCATGGAACTCGCAGGCCAGCGAAACCAGCCTGGTGCCACGGTTGTCCCCGCTGATTGACCCAATCGGGATGCAGTCTTGCTGCGGGTCATCGGGCTCCTTCATTTCCAGCGCGCGGCGGCACTCCATCTCGGCCGCGTCGTACTCACCCAGGACGAAGAGGAGCTTCGCGTGGAAGGAGGCGATGACGGCCGATTTGGGGTAGTCCCGGGCGGCGCGCTCGGTGATGACGAGGGTGCGGCGCAGGAACGGGCGCTTGTCGATGGCCGCGTCGAGGCTGCGCACGAACTCCAGGTCCATGTACGGCGCGAGGTACAGCGCGCGACCCAGGTTGGGGAAGGTCATGGCGACGAGCTCGGCCCGCTTGCGCCCGTCCGCCGCGCCGAGCTGCCTGCCGGCTTCAAGCACCCAGTGGATCATCGCCAAGTCGTTACCCGTCATGCGGGCGAAGGAGGCGCGGGCCCGGTCCCTGGCCTCCTCCACCCTCTCGCTCGCGAAGTCCGGGTCGCGCTCGTGCTCGTAGCCCTCGAACATGCCGTAGGACGCGTTGTGGAGGGCCGGGTCGGAAGGCCGTGGGATGCGCCGCGCGCGGAGGTACTCGCCCTCGGCCTCCTTGAACACCCGGGAGACCACGAAGGCGTCGCAGAGCGCGGCCGCGATTTCGACGCAGTCGGGGGCGAGGCGTCGCGCCGCGGCGAGCGCGTCGCGGGCGACGCGGAGGTGCGGCGCCGCCGCGTCGTTCCTGGCCTCCGCGGGCCGCGCGGTCGGCGGCGGCGTAGTGGAGCTCGCCCAGGAGGTGGTGCGTGACCGCCAGGTCCTGGTGCGCGAGCATGAGGTCGCGGGCGCGGGCGAGCGCCTCGTTGTTGTGGCCGTCGTGGTCGAGGAGCAGCACCTCCGTGGCCGCGGCGCGGACGGCCTCCGCGTCCGCTTCGGCGTCGGCCATCGCGGTCGGAAGACGGCGAGGGGCGCGCGCGGGGGGTGTTCGGGGAAATGCCGCGGCGAGGCGGGGTCCGGGCGGCGGAGCGGGGGGTTTGTTTGGTGTTTTATTTTTTATTTCGGAAAGCTTGTTTGGGTTTTGGGGAGGAGGTACACGGTGGAGCCGTGTAGGCGAAGGAGGTGGAGGGGATTTTAGCATGCGTTTGGTTTTGGGCCCATGCGGGTTGGGTCGGAGTGAATCTAGTTCTTGTTTGGTTGTAGGATTGTGTTACACCCAGTTTTTTGTTTGATTGGAGAATAAAGTGGGTTGGAATGGTTCCATCTCTTGTTTGATTTGAGTATGCGGGTTAGACTGTGAATATGCTCACCTTTTTGGTGAGATTACCACACACATTAGCTGCCACAATTCAACACACACGTTCAACAATTCAACAATTCACCAATTCTTAATATGAGTTGTCCGTTGAGCACACCATTTCACCAATTCAACAATTCACCAATTCTCATTTGCTCAAGGGATAAACAAAAAAAAACAATTGACATGCTCATTTTCTTTCTGTTTATAAACACATGCAAAAAAGCCAGAAGTCTGTCCCTTGAGCACACCAATTCAACAATTCAACAAAGACGGCAAGCAGGCACACCAAATCATATATCTTGAGCAACGTTAATCAAGTTCAAGCCTTACTTACATATACCAAGTTCAAGGCAATACAAGTTACACCACGTTCAAGCCTTACACAATATAAGTTCAAGGATTACACATCGACATAAGATTCAAGTTCTAACAAAAGAAACATCCCACACATCTAAATCACCCTTACATTCCGTGGAACTTCTCAAAGTGATGAACATTGTGACCCAATTTAACTTGTGCTCAAATGGCGTTTATGGAAAGCTCGCCAATGTGAGGATTTGCCACCAAATGAGCATAGTAGAAAGATATGTGTCTTGAATTAAAACTAGGAAGTTGGTTCAAGATGTCAAATAGGTCATCCTGGCAACTCATTATCGTGTTTAGCAACCAATTTTATGGCGTGCAAGGTTCTCACCTACACTTTTGAAAGCAAAGAACAGCCCATCCTCCTCCATTTCAGCCTACCTTGGCCTTCTCATCGGGTCTACTAGCGTAAGATGTTGCCCCTTGAGTGCTAGGCCCATCACTTGGACCATGCCCATTAACCTCATCCCCTCTTCTTGACTTTCAACCTCATCACCTTCCCTACCTAGAGGTGCACTTGAGTCTTTTGCAAAGTTTTCAAGAGCCATGGTATTGCCAAATATTGCCTTCATCTCTTTGTAGTGCAAGAGGGCTTGTTCAAGAACTCAAAGATCGACCTTGTGATCCTAGACATGGAGGACAAATAAGTTAATATAATCTAACATGTGTCAATGAATCAAGAACTAAGCAAAATATGGTAAGTTTACATGGACATGACCGTTGTAGTGCTCCTCATCTAGTGTAATCATGCAGTTTTCTTCATCAAAGAGGGCACCACTCAATTTCTTCAATCTATTTATCTTTGCATACCTTTTTCGCTGCTGTGTTTTCAAATGATTCTTGACTTGCTCACCAAGTGAACCTTGTGGTAAACTTCTCGTTGATAGCCCTAGCACAACCATTGAAAAGGTGTTTTTTAAAGCCCTTTGATGTCTTCAAACCATCACCACCAAATCATTGAGGTGAGAGAGCATTAAAGCGCATAACAATGCCGATGTCCACGTAGCATGCCCATTAGTTCCCCACGCCCTTGACTACTTCCTCCATTGTTCTACCACACAAAAACACAATCAAGAAAAAAAGTAGCAAAGACAAAATCAGCACCAAGATGTAGCCAAAATGGACATTAGTATCATTACAAAATCAGCACCAAGATGTAGCTGAAATGGACATTATCACCACAAATTACATAAAATTCAAAGCAAGCAACATGTTCATACAAATAGCTAAAATTGTTATACAACTAAAAATTGTTATACAAATAGCATGGTGACAAATATGTCCTTACAAATAGCAATACATCAGCCAAGAAAGGCTTAAAGATGTTATACAACTAAAATTAGTTAACATTGTTGTTTTCTCGGCCGCCCACATCTCGATCGCCATTTGTTGCTCGAAATTAACCATAGTAGCATGCTCATTTGCTTGGCCAATGCGTGTGGAAGCATGGTTGTAGCTTGGTCAATTAGTATCTCTGTGAAGAACTCATCACGCCCATCTTGTATGACCCAATTGTGAATAATGCGAAGCAAGCATGCATAATACCTACTTGTGTTGGAAAAGGGAAGAATGGAGTAGCATCATCAAGAATTTTGAATCTCCTCTTTAGTGCCCCAAATGCCCGCTTTCATCGTGACACGTAGTGATGAGTGCCTAAGGTTGAACAATTCCTTCTCATTTTGCATCTTTGGATTACTTCCCCATTCGCTTAAGTGGTACCGAACTCCACGAAAGGGGGGCAAAAATCCTGGTTTGGCTCCATATCCAGCATCGACTAGGTAGAATTTGCCTATCATTTGAAATTTGGTCATAATACTATAAACTAAAATTTGTATGTAAAAGTTGAGAGTTTACTACTCTATTACCTTGTGGGACACGAAGGTCATTCTCACGTTCTAAAGCATCACGTAAAACTAGAGCATCATGTGCATCCCTTCCCAACCGGGCCAACACATAGGTGAACCGTAGATCAAAATCTACAATTTGCCATTACATTTTGTGTGCAAAATGATTTTCTACCACGAAGGCATGTTCAATGTTCTTAGGAACAGATGCTCTTACATGAGTACCATCAATAGCTCCAATACAATCCTAGTTTTTTTCAAAAAGGTAAAGATTAGGGACCATATGAGGTTAGATTAATACAAAATTCAAAACAAAATAGGGATAAGCCTCCCACCTTAAAGTAAGGATCCCATCTGTTGTTCCCTGCAATTTTGCTTGGAGTGTCCAAAGACGGGGGCCTAATTAGTTCCCCTCGCAGCTCTCCAATAGCACGGAGTACTTTGTTGAAATAGCTGCTAACTGCTTTCTCCCGATCTATCAAAATTAGTTCCAACTAACCTATTTCTAAGGTTATGTCCCCATCATTTAGAAACATACCCACCTGTTGCTCAACACACAAGTTACATGTATCTTGAAGCAAACCACGCTCTCTAAAAAGATTGCAAAACCGAAAGAACTTGCCTCTATTAAGTCTTAACATGTTCAAGCAAGTTGTGTCATCCTTCCAAATTTTGTTATTTAGATAATCTACTCTCATCCTATCCCTTGCCTCCATAGGCCCATAGGTAATACCAACCCTTCTTCTACATCGTTTACGTTTCCTAGATCGAATAATCACCGCCATCATTGACAATAACATGTATGCAAAGAAAAAGACAAGTTACAATCTTGGTCCTCCTATCCATCTACAATACAAGAATGAACCATCACACAAGTACTCTTCAACCATGGTCCGAATGGTAGTGCATGCTTTTCAGATTATTTGAAAACAACATCATGCTTATACTTGACAATTGAAGTATGTTTATTGTGAAGTATTATTTGAAATATACTTGACATTATATGCAACAGATCCACAAATATTTTTTAGGCAGATTGGTCTTACCTTGGGGTAAGGGGTGGCGTTGGAGGCTTGGAGGTAAGGCAGGGTCAAGGCTGGAGGCTTGCCTACCAGTACTGGAGGCTTGGCAAAGGCGCCGGGCGTTGAAGCTTGGCGTAAGGTGGGGCTTGGCCGGAGGAGGCGCCGCCATGTGGGGCGGTTGGTCGAGGCGGACGGTCGTGGGTCCGGCAGAGGTCGTGGGCGTGGCAGAGTTCAGGGTCTGACGGTGGTCGGGTCGACGGCGGTCAGCACGATGGAGGGCGTGGATCCGCCGGATTTTGAGGGCAATGGCGGCGAGATCTACTCCGGAGAAGTCGTGGCCGGAGAGATGGGAGAGGAGAAAGTCTGCGGCGTGAGAGGGCAGCGGATGGGGGGTGGCGGCACTGCCGGTGTGGCGGTGTGTCTGCTGTGGCGGGCGGCACAAGAGATGCGCGTCGCGCTACCGGCGCCGGGTCGGGGGGGAGGGGGTGAGCGAGCGGTGACAGGATTGCGCGAGAGGAACTGGGTCGAAACGATCCCTCCGTTTTGGAGGATTCACCCGGACCCGGATCTAAGGGGAATATACCCATGTGGGTTCAACCCAACCCAGTTCTCTTTACAACCAAACGTGGGATGAAAGGGGTCCGACCCGTTCCAACCCCCTCCGACCCAGTAACCAAACACATGCTTCCAGTGACGTCGTGGACGCGGGGGGGGGGGGGTGTTCGGCGGTTGTGATTCTATTAGGGCATGTACAACTCACAGACAGGGATCTATCTCTAAGTGCCTCGAATCTATCGTACAGACAAGTATAAAGACCGGTCATACAACCCACAGACGGAGTTATGTCTCTAAGCTATTTAATGCTCTGCATGTAGCTAAGATCAACTATAAATAAATATTTGTATAACATTGTGTGGCTATTTGATAGAAAATGTATCAATGATAAATAAGAGCAACATAATTTCAATATTTTTTAAATCATCACAGCTAGGTTTAATGTGATAGAAGAATATTGCAATAGTCAAGAAAAAAAACAATGATATATCATCTGCAGTGATCTTGGTTTAATATGATAAAAAACAATGATATATGCACCAAACTTCTTGTTCCTCGATAAAAAAAACAATGATATATCATCTAGCGCATCTTCTTGTTCCTCGATCCCCCACTTCTTGCCCCCCGGCCCCGTCTCCACCAAGTACAGACACCGGCCGCGAGCTCGCCCAAGACCAAAGATGGCCTCCCGAACATCTTGACGACGAACTCCTGCATCAGGGGCTGCAAGAGCTCGCCTGCCCTCGAGCCCAAAGAGCTCCCAGGCCAGCCGCAGAGCAGTGTTGACTCAAGTGCGCGGGCGGCGGCGAGGGCACCCAATACCGACAAGCGGGATTTGACGCGCCGAAGCTCGAGTCGAGGTGTGTGTGGCAAGCGGCGGTAAGTTTGGTGCCGCATGGACACCGGAAGGCTACCGAAAGGCCGCCGAGGCACCGATCGAAGGAAGCGCCCCAGCGGCGCGAACAACAGGAAGCGGCAAGATGGGAACGATTTTGGCGCGAGACTTCCCTCCGGTGCGCGACCAAACTGAACTCCCCGCGCGCAGACGGGATCCGCACGCGGTCGAGTAGGGGATGCGATCCATACAATGCTGCCAGAGTAGGCGTTTCGGCCTCGGGCAACGGGACTTCCCCATCGTCTCACGAGACGACGCCGACCCCGTCTCCTCATATCGGTGGGGTGCTTTTTACAAAATATACATCGTAGAGACGGCTTCTGAAGACCCGTTGTACATGCCCTTAGATCCACCGATCAGTTAGATCGCTTAGGGGGTGTTGCCGTGTTGGTACATGGGATTAAAGTTTTCGGAGGTGTGACATCTTGTGTTCGAATATTAATTAAAAGAACTAAACATGAGCTAGCTAATAACAAAAACCGTGACTAATTTATGAGACAGATTTATTAAGCCTATTTAGTCCATAAGTAGCACATGTTTACTGTAGCCCCACATTATCAAATCATGGACTAATTAAGCTTAATAGATTCGTCTCGCAAATTAATCTCAATCTATGTAATTAGTTTTATAATTAGTCTATGTTTAATATATAAATTAATGTCAAGTATCTGATATGGCAAGAACAAAGTTTAGGAGGCTAGGCGGTCATAGGAGAAGAGTTTGTTTTTTCAACCGGGAAGAAGTTATCTGCAGTAGATACTTGTACAGCAATGGTGCATAGAAGTATTCTAGATCTTTATTAGAAGATGTGATTTATATGATCAAATTCTAAAGTTAAAAATCTATGTGGGGTCCACCTTTTAATGTGCAGTTGTCACGAATCAGCCCAGACTGACGGCCCCTTTCATCCTGTATAGTGTGTATTGTGTAGAGAGTGTACACCAGCACATGGCCTAGGACTCCGCCTCTCCGTGAGGTATGCGTGTACAGAGAGTGTAAACGAGCCGTTATTGTTTTTTCGATAGAGTGTATCGTCAATAATGATTTATAGACGGTTGTTTATGACTTCTTTGGATCCGACAATGAACAATGAACATGGTCGACATCCAATGCTATGTCCAAGCTCAATTCATCTCATCTCCCACTCTGTAGACAGGCGAGCGTTGAGGAGGGTCCTCGGGACCGCACCTAAACTGCAAACGTGCTCAAAGTCTCAATCTAAGGGTCCGTTCAGCAGGACTGAAAAATAAATCAAA